GGTGATCAAAGTTCAGACTCCCTAGACAACACCACAGACGGTACCTGGCAGGTCGGCATGCGTAACTGCTGGTGGAAGGAGACTTCTTGCCACCAGTGAGAACGGAAGTCCCTTCTCCCTGCTCAGCCTTCTCTGGCACCGAACTGGCAGGGGCTTAAGGTTAGTTTGGTGAGGATCGGTGTTGCACCACTTGGCCCTGGCTGGTGTTGGTGTTTGGTTGGGAGTAGTCACTGAATCAAAGATTTCATGCTAAGCTGTCCTATTCTTGGTCCTCTGACTAGAGGGAGAGGCTTTTGCTAGGATTCTTTTTTATCCTCACTCACTGTCACTTTCAGTTGCCCGATTCTGTAGATTCAAGTCAGGGTTATATGAGACCAAAAGAGGTTTTAAGAAACTCACCACTATTCCCTGGTTTTGAGAGTTCTAGTGAGTCTGCCTTTGCCTTGCTATCTTTGTGCAGAGCATTGAGGTGTATTAAACAGAATGGACAGGAAAAGTGTTTCTAATTCCATCTTTCCTTTTAATTTAATTTGTTAGTTCATTTAATCCTGGTAACAAACCTGCAAGATGGTGTTATCTCCAGAGAAAGAAACTAATGCTCTGGGAAATGGCAAGACTTGGCCATAACTGCAAATGGAGGATAAAAGCATACCTACCCTTGGATGACTGGCATTCTCAGGCTATCACATTTCCTTGTAGTGGGTCCCCCAAATGTGATCTCTGACCCAGTGTAGGAGAAACAAAGCTGAGTCCCAATGGAAAGGAGAGAAGACCTGAACCTAAGAAAGTCCCACTGTTCTAGGCAAGGTCATGTTCTAGTTTACTCTAGTCACCTGCTGGCCAGCACCACCGTGGAGGTAATTCTGATCCAGTTTTAGTATAAGGGAGCTGGGAAGCTAGACTTCTCACTTTATTCTAATTTATCTACTGCAAATTATATTCCCAGGTCAATGGGTATGTTAGTGCAAGAAATAATATGTTAGTGGCATGTAAGGCTAAGATTTATGTGGCTGGGCTCTGATGTGGAAAGAAGCTGTCACTCAGCCCAATGGGTTAATGGGTTAACATGAGGTGAATGGAAATAAGGACTGACTATGTCATTTCAAGGTCAAGGAAAATGGAAGTCAGACATCTACCCATCCACCTACTCTCCTCTGTGAACATCTACCAGTCTGCCACATCACAAGATAGGACACTTTGCATAAGCTGGTCATTATCTCAATTAAAAAAAGCTCTGATAACTTCACTAAAAATTAGCTCCCACGTTCAAGAGAGTAGGAAGTGACAAACAGAACACGCTCCAACGATGGGACATATCGAAATGCGCGGCACAGGTGTTTGGGCTGGGCCTGGACTTCTGTCACTTCCTCACCTCACCACAGTCACCTCCCCTGCAGTGTTTGCCTTGGTCACACCAGACAGCCCACCTAACCCAACACAAACCAGACCGTCTCCCATCTCCAAGGCCTGGACGTGCTGTTAGCTCTCCTCAGGAGAGCTGTGTCATCCCGCCTAGAAGATGCTATCTTTCCAACACAGCTCGAGTCTCCCTTTCTCTGAGAAGCTCCCTGACTCACCTCCCTCCCCGCCAGGTACCACATCCTTCTTTCCTGGGCCAGGGCCTGCCACTGCCTCAACCAGTCCGGACAAGAGGCCCACTGCTCCAGAGCAAGTAGCGCAGGAAAGCGTAGAGGCGATTGCTCTAGGGTAATTTTTGATACAAATTAAAAAGAAAATTCTCAAGTAAAAATATTGCAAACTGGTTCAATCACTACGGAAAGCTGCGTGGAGGACCCTCACATTATTATAAATTGACTTAACAAAGGACCCAGCAATTCTGCTCCTAAGATCTACCCAAAGGACACAAGAACATTAAATTGAAAGGCAACCTGCACTCCTCTGTTTACTGCTGCCCTATTTACAACAGCCAACATATGGAAAAAACCTAAATGCCCAAAACAGATGAGTGGATCAAGAAGATATAGAGCAGAGTTGTCCGAAACCAGAGAGTTTAAGAGAAATAATGAATCCTAGGCAAGCTCAGCTTCAGTAACAACAATTCTCCTGCAGTATGTGGGAAGTCAGTGGTTCACTATGGTTCAACTTGAATGAATTTTTTCCTTTAAGTTTCCTCTTCCTCCTTCCTGTCTTGTCCTCTGTCTTCTCCTTCCCCTGAGCACCCTTCTATCTCCTCCTTCTCCTCCACATCCTACTATTCTTTCCTTCTTCATCTCTTTCACGCTCCTCTTCCTCATTTTCCCTCCTTCCTCAAGCTATTTCCACACACTGGAGTCCAGCATAAACCCTTCACACATCTCAAGCCTCTGTCCTAGTCTCACTTACTCTGCACTTCCCACATTACAGAGGGTGAAACCAGACAGAGATCTTGCATGGTTACATGGCAGTGAAGGAACTGAGTTTCAAGGTCAAGGCTTCTGACGCACCCTGCTCACTAACCACAATGGGTGCGGCAGCTGAGCGTCCATGAGCCTGGACTGACTGAGCTAGAAAGGAGAGGAGATGGACAGCAACAGATATGCAGGCCCAACTGGCTCAGGAATCTTTGCACTAACCACATCATAGCCTGACAAAAAGGATCTGCGTGAAGCCAGTGAGAAGAGAAAGATGGGAAAAAATAAGCCAGCCCTATGATAAATCCCGTCCCCCTTCATGTCAAAGCCACTTTCTAAATAGAGGTTAATTTATCGCTCTTATCAAATTCTCCTGCTGGCAGACAAGCAGAACAATGTCACAGTCACTGATCTAGCTGACCTGTGTTTCTGTCCACCTGACACAGAGACGCTCCTTGTGAAACCAGAGAGAAAGGCCTGGAGACGGAGCTGAGCTCCTAGCTCCTGAGACACCACGGGGAGGGTGGGCCAACGGGCGCCGGGCAGTTATTGCCCTGGAGCGGCATCGGGGAGGCCCTCGCAGCCCTCCCAGCGGCGGGAACCCCCTCTCCCAGAGACCTCTCTCTTGTAAATAACAAAGGACAGTGACAGCAGCTTGACACTGTGGTTGGCAGCCCCGAGGTTGAGGCTGGTAACAATGGCTACTGTCGTTTCCTGGGCACACAAGATGTGCCAGGAACTACATGAAGTGCGCTTGTTTTCATTATTTCACTGACTCCCCCAGCGACTCCCTGAGCCCGGTGCTCTCATCAGCCACCATGGACATCTTAAAATACGACCGGAATTCTTGGCCCCTTCCCGCTGTCGGGAGGGCTCTGCGTCTCGGCCCTGGCGGCGGGCGCGTGACCACTTCCTAAGGCACAGAACCGACACCGCTGACACCGGGCAGGTGGCAGGTCAAGATGGCGCCTGGGCTCGGACAGAGGGAGCCGCGGCTTCCGTGGTGTTGGCTGTCCAGCTGCTCATGAGCCCTGAGCTGCCACTTGAGCAGCCCGGCTTTCCTAAAGCCCCACGCTGTGAGGGAGCTCAAGTCACGATCAGGAGATCCTCCGCAGGGCCCAGCCTCCACCACCCCAGTCCAGCATCAGACACATGAGTCAGATCAGGGGTTGGCACACTCGAAATGACCAGACAGTACACGTTCTGGGCTGAGAGCCGGGTGGCCTCTGCTCTCACTACTCAACTCTGCCACTGCACAAAGCAACTGCAGGCAGCGTGGCTGTCCTACACCACTGCATTCACGAAAGCGGGGGGCTGGACGTGGCCTGTGAGCGTTGTCCCTGTTCCAGTTGGTGCCAACACCCCGCTGTGTGAGTTGTCCCAGTTGCTTCCCTGAACATCACGGAGCAGACAAACCACCCCACCCGCCACACCCTTCCCCAATTCCTGACCGACACACCCTACGGACATCGGTAAAGGAGGCTGGTGTTTTTGGTGTCCAGCAGGAGAGAATGGGAATGACCCAGTTACATACAGGAAAACTGAGGCTCAGGGACACGCCATTGCTGCTGGGTTGGCCAGACTTCAGAGGCCAAGAGCTCAGTTGCTCAGAAGATGGCACAAGGAGCCAGATGGCGCCTGGCTGAGATCTAGTAGTAAGCAGCGGGTGTCAGCACGAGAGGGAAAGAGCATATGGGCTCTAGTGGGGGGCGTGGAAAGGCAGGGAGAGCGGGAAGGAGCGGGAAGGAGAGCGGCCTCGTGCGCTGCCATCAGCAGTGATTCATTTTCCAAACCAAGAGAAAGCCAATAGCTGGTTTTCAGCAGAGGGTGACACAATTCAAACTACACTCATTAAGATCACTCAGGCTGCTGTGGGGAATGGACTGGGGAGGGGTCACCCCCACCCCCATGCAGAGGAGAAAGCCTGTGCCTTGCCAGTGTGCGGTGCCCAGCCAGCACGTGGGTGGCCTGCGAACACAGGTGGGCGCCTCCCGCGTGCTTGGCTGATGCCTGTTTTGCCTGGCAGGGCTCCTCAGGTGCACATCCAGGCTGGCATGTGCCTCCTTGGCCTCCTATGATGAGGCCGAGAATGTCCCAGGGGCTGCTTTGGTAGGGTCAGACCTGAGGCCCCAACAAGGATGTCAACAGTCACACTGGAATTTCCAGGCCACAATTCAAAGGAAGATGCAGAGAGGCGCCCTGCTTTCCACCGAACCAGCCAGGCGCTGACTGGAGCAGCTGGTAAAGAGCTGGGTCCCCACACGTGCCCACCCCCTGGCCCCCAGCAGGAGCTCAGAGAGAGAACCTATCCTGTGGTTCATTCAACAGATGTTTCTGCATGCCCAAAATCACGCACAAAGCTAATCCAGCAGATGGCAAAGCATCTCACAGAACAGAGGACGGCTCTGAAACACGAGGAACCCCTTCTCCGGTGGGCCCCGACTCCCATGCCTGGACACTCTCGTCCATCCTCATCCCCACGTGCCCTCTCTAAGTCTGACAGGTTCCTGGCACATTCGCTCCCCCCGCCAGCTGATGACACCCAGGCTTTCCTGAACACCAGCCCAGGTGTGTTGGGAGATGTGCGCGGCTTTCCAGTCCAAACCGCCCCTTCCTGTCTGATCCCCCCCATTCGCACCCCAGACTCACCTTATTGATTTTGTTGGTTTTGGGGAGCGTCTGGCTGATGTGCAGGTCTGAGTACCGGGGCGGCTTCCGTAGGGGGTTGTTGATGTCGCACGGCACGGACTCCGTTCGGACTAACCTTGCTGGGTCCGTAGGGGTGAAAACAGTGATTTGGGAATTTAAGTACCACTGGCATGTCACGGCAGGGGAGCACAGCTCAGAGCCCACCTCGCAGGCCCGGCCCAGAATGGAAGGGATGGCACAAGATGACAGTTGCTGGGTCACAGCAGTGTGGAGGGGTGCTGTGGCTGCGTAACAGAGAGCTCCCCAGGGAAAGGGGAGGCTCCCGCTCCCTGCCTCACCCTAAGAAGGGGGCAGCGTGAGGAGAAAGAGGAGGCACATGGTGCAGAGAAGGGTGAAGAAGCCGCGCCTGCTTCTCGGCCCTGGACTGGGGATGCGGAAGGAGCCACTTGAAACTGACGTGGGCGAGAGGCTCACGTGGCAGCCTTGATCCTGACTGGTGCTTTGTCTCTGCTCTCTTCCTCCCAGATTTGCCTGGCCCCTTCTGCTCCTTTGCTCTGTCTGTGCCGAAGGGGCCTTAGACTAGTGGCCTGTGCCGCAGACCGGAGCCGCAGCGCTTCGGCCAGCCTGGTTGGTGGGCATTTACTCACAGGGGCGGCACCTTGGGTGTTTCATCTGTTCTGCCCCTTTTCTTTATTGCACAATAATTGTATTAAGGTTCTTTCCTGTTGAAGGTCTTATTTACTAGAGTATATTCTGTCTTGATGTGGCAAAACCCGTTTGGAACAGGCAGATTTGGGGGTCTTTGGACGCCCATCACCCTGCCCTGTAAAAGGTTGCAAAAACTTGTATTTTTCAATATATGACTGTTGGCCATCAGAATCGTCATAATAGAAAGAAGCGACTGGTGTGCCTGTTTCCAACACTGAACTGTTTTGCACGCTGTTCACTGCAGAACTGAGCCTCCTGGAAACAGCTGTTGTCCTGTTTTCTCGGGCTCTGTGATCAGTGCACAAGCTCATGCCGGCCACCACGCCACCTCTGCATGAGACCACCTGTGGGGTCACCTTTGGGGTTTCTCAGGCCTGAGCAGCCCATCACATGCCAGTATATGTCCTACACAAGGCTACCCTGGGCTCTGAATAAAAAGGCTTGGCCCTTTCAGCCTCTGCCGGTGCCTCACGCCCAGAAGCACATGGGCACATGGCTGGGCACATGGCCGATGCCAGGCAAAAGCTTCCTGATCACAAACCCTGTGGTCCAAGCCCCTCTCCCAGCACCCTTCCGTTATTTCTGCTAACAACTGGGACCCCAGGAAGGGACCAAGGTGAGCAGCCCAAATTCAGACTGGATGCCTGGTAGTGACTTATCTGCCGTGTTTTATCGTGGGGCCAGAGCAGGGGCAGCTTGGCGGAAAAGGTTCAGCTTCGGACTGACCCGGGGATTTAATTTCTCTGCTTAGCCTGAGCTGCCATCACCATGGAAACCCACTACACTTCCAACTTCCTACCAACAGGGAAGGGTGGGGGAGCAAGATACTGGCAGACTTCTGGAGAGTTCTTTTTGCTTCTCATGTACTGGTACCAGCCACCTCTCAGCCAACGGGGCCCAGCTGTGTGGGTGGTGTGCGGGAGCCCTGCTTCAGATGTGAGCCTCTGGGAGCAGGCACCTTTCAGCAAGCCTCTCCCCTGGTGGGGGCAACCTCCCCCGTGAGGCTGATCACAGGGCTCAAGGGCTGAGACTCCAGCTCTAAAATAGCCTCTCTGGGCATACGCAGTTGTTTAAGGAACAGATGGTTCTTAATTAAAGATACGGAGTGGGGTCGGAGAAGAGCGCTGTGAAGTTTCCCTTTCCTCACAATCTCCTCCCCTTGTGGCCGTAAGCAATGCAAAGATCGTTGAAAACCAACTGCCTGTGGCTCTGGAACACATCTCAGCACTTTCAGCAGCAGTGATTTGCTGCCTCTAAGTTTCACTTGGGTTCACCCACAGGACAGGGCAGGTGCCCCTCAGTGTACTCCAACCAAGGCCAGGGGTGCCCGAGAGGAGGCAGAGTCTTCCCGCCCCAGGTCAGCACTAAGCTGCTCCCGGGTGGCTGGAAGGCTCCAATCCAGCCCAGACACCGGGGGCGGCCATCAGGAATTTAAAAAATTTTAATAAGTTGCTGTGTGTGGCTTAGGAAACTCTCTGGACATTTCTCTGAAATGCTGGCAGGTCCACATCAGCTGTGGGCCCCTCACTCTGTGCAGGGACCCTGTCTGGCCAGGGTGTAGGCTCCGTCTCTGTCCTGGCAGGCGTCTGAGTCAGCAACTCCTACGCCAGAGCAGCCCTTCTCAACCGAGGCAGAGGCATCGCTCAGAGATGCTGTTAAAAATGCAGGTGTTGACCTGCGAGGTTCTTACAAGCTCCCAGGTGATGCCCATGGCGGTGGTCCTTGGGCCAGCAGTGCAACAGCAGAGGTCTGGACCAGCAGTGTCCAGCGGACCTTCTGCCGTAGTGAAGGTGTTCTGGTCTGCACTAGCCAGTAGGGTGGCCACATGTGGCTACTGAATGCGGCTGGTGTGACTGAGGCATTAAAGTTTTTTCTTTCATCTTCACGAATTTAAATGGTCAGAGGAGGCACAAACCTACGGATGCCCCCAGGGAGGACCACAGTGCGGACACTGGAGTCAGGGACCAGAATCAGAGCAGCTATTTGGAAAGCTGAACTGCGAAGCTGCCCAAGGAAGCGCCTTCCACCCAGTCCTCGGCAGGCAAGGAAAAGTCTTTCTTCCCGGCTTAGTTAGGCCTGCTCTGTCAGGCTGGGAGGCTGGCGTGGCGCTCCCGGCGGGGCGCTGCCCCAGAGGCCCAGAGCAGCAGCACGCGCGGCCCATACCTGCAGGCCCACCTGGGCCAGGAGAGCACACAAAGGCACGTACCAGCCAGCATGCTTCAGAGTGGGAGCGCAGTGGGGCTAGGGGCAAGAGAAGAGAGGGAAAGCTCGGAGAGGGAGACAAGGGTCCGGGAAGGCTAGGTGAGCCTGGAGGCCACAGTACTAGAACACAGCACAGGGCAGGGGCCAGCGGGGGCCAGCATGGGGGTGGGAGGAGGGAAGAGCAGAGAGAAGGCCAGGAAGAAAGGCAGCAGAGGGAAAGGAAGGACACAGGTGGTGTCGGGGGTCGGGGTACCCAGAATCAGGGGGCCTGTGTGGGCATTCTCTGAAATGGCCGACCCCCAGCCCCCACCCCAGGGAAGCAAGCGCTGAGTACTTACCTCCTCTGTGGATGATGAGGAGATGGCAGGGCGGGGCTTCTTTGGTGCATTTGTTGTGGCACTTTAACCTGCGAGAGCAAGAGAGGAGGATGGACACGCAGACAGAGGGCCGGGCCACACTCCCTGCTCCGAGGCTGCCAGGACTGCGGGCCGGGCGGGAGGTGGCCGGGCAGCCGCGGCAAAGGTGCCCCCGGGCGTCCAGAGCGAGGCCGGCTGGCGCGCGGGAGGCCCCGGGGCTCAGCGTGCGCAGCAACTACGTCACTGTCGGAGCCCACCAGGCCTCGCGCCCTTTAGGATTTCCCAGCAGAGAGTGCCTATGGCCACCCACGCTCGCCCAGGCCTGCTAATGGCCACTGTGCACGTGAAGACGCACCCCGCCCACAGGGCCGAACACGCCGTGCGCATGCGTCCCTGGCGCTTCAGCGCAACCTCACAAAACAGGTGTCACCCTCCTCCTGTGGCACAGGCACCCTGGGGTTAATGACCTGTCCTGGCACAAAACCTGGGCCGTGGCACCAGAAGTGGGCTCTGGCTTTCCGCCCAGGCCGCCAGTCAGAATGAGGCTGGTAACAGGAAAGGCGTTTAGGGGCTCGGGGGCAACCGTCGTCCCTGGAAACGCGTCTCAGATGTCACCCCGTCTTCCTCATACCGTTGCCTGACTTCAGGGGAAAATTAAAGCCCCGAGCCACTACGGCTTGGCTCCGACGTTCTCCTCCAGCGTTTCATGCCCGCAGGGCTGGACACGTCACGGCGGGCTGCGCTGCTGGCGCTGGGCTTCCTCACCGCTGGGCCTGAAGCAGCTACATTCTAGCTGGCGGCTGCGCCCAGGCTGCTCAGCGGCTGACTCTACCCGAGGGGGCTCTGCCCTGTCCTCACCCTCTCGCGGGCCAGCAGCTCACCTGAGCGTTTTAACAGTGGCTGGAACGCCCAGACAGAGATGAGCTGTGGCTCCCTCCAGTTAGTCCAGCGCAGGGATTCTCGGAGAGGGGCCCCCAGACAAGCAGAATCCTTACAGAAGCATGACTGCGGGGCAGGTCCGGCCCGTGCTGCTGCAGGAGACGCCGCAGCCGGCCAAAGCAGGCCCCCCCACCCCGGCTCTGTGCCGGTCAGGACGCGCGCCCCACCGACGCCCTGCGGTCCGCGGGCTGGGGTGTGCCTGCGTGTTTCCTCAGTTCTTCTCATGTTTGGTCTTTTCAGGCCTCAGTAGGGCCCTGAATTCCCCTCTGACCTGAGAAGTCAGACGTGGGACCTGGGAGTGTGGGGGCAACGTCTCCCTGCCCAGGTCTCCATCGGCGGCTCCCTGTGCCCCCGCACCGCCACCTCCTGCCAGCATGCGCCCGCCCGGCTGTGCCAGGCGACACTGAGCAACTCAAGGAAGGTGTCTTCCCACTAAAGTGTCTGTTTTTGATGACTCTCTGTTAATAGCAAGAGATGCTGATTTTTAATTCACTCTAATAGATACTTAAAAAAAGCCATAAAACTATTATAGATCAAATGAAATGTGTGGATCTCATTTAGACCCCAGCTTGAAGAAAAGAACTACCAAAAAGTGGTTATCCTGTGATATTTAAGAACAAGTAAACACGACTGATGATATTAAACAGATACAGTTTTGTCTTTAAATAAATAGATTTACTTTTTAAAAAGCCTCACACTGTAAATAAATAAATGTGAAGCTGCTACATAAAGATGACGAAATTACGAGGGGGTGTTGAGTAATTACTGACTTAGACTGGAGAAAAGTTGCTTAGACAATTTGGAATCTTCAAAGAGCAGCAGCAGCTTGTGGCATCCAATGTCTACGACCCTCGGAAGCCACGGGGCGCTCTCGGCTACGAATGTCACTAAGAATGCAGGACACGGGCCCTCCCTGGTGGCGCAGCAGGTTAAAGCACAGCACTATGAAGGCCGAAGCCACTGCAGGACGAGTTCGATCCCCGCCACCCACACGGTGCGGCAGACCTCTCCTGTCTCACCCGCTGCTCCCCTAGCAGGGTGTTTCATTCGGTCTGCCTGTTCTGCTCCCCACTCTGTCTCCGGTGAACCGTCCCACCTTCCACACCTCTGGTCTGTACTCCAGTTCTGTATTCACAAAGAAATAAATCTTAAAAAAACAAAACAAAACAAAACAAAACAAAAAAACAAAAAAAAACCGCAGGACAGAAATCAGCCAGAGAAAGCACCTCTGCGGCCCTGACCATGCAGCACGAACGTCCTGCAGACTTATGCGATGCCTTTAGTCCTCTCAACAGCCCTAAAAGTTAGGAACTATTGCCACAACCATGTCGGACTGTGAAACTGAGGTCCGGCAAATCTGGACAAGACCCCGAGTCCAGGTCAAATGATGCTGCAGGTGCCACTGTCGCCTCCTCTCCCGGCTTCACCTCCCACGTGAGGGAAGGAAAGGGGCGCGCCCTGGGAATGACAGCGTCTCCTCGGACCCAAGCCGAAGCCGCACCTGTTCCCCCCGCCGCCAGTTGCCTGCCTTCGCCCCGTGTTCTCCTCTCTGGGCCTCCAGACTGCCAGAGACAGTGAGGGCCCCGGCCCCCCGGGGAAGAGCTGGCGCCGCGTCACACCCTGATGGCACTGCACGTAGCCAGCTCTGCTCTTCCAACACGCACTTAACCGGGCACACTCTGCCCCAGTTCCCGGGGACACGACAGGGCCGGTGGAGGGGCCCTTGCGTTATGGGGAGGGGTCACAACAGGCAAACAGACAGCGGGCTGGCGCGAAAACACAGCAACTGAAGGGGAGGAGGGCAATGGGGGGCGGGGGGGTGTAGGCTGGGGGGAGGAGCAAGAGGGATGGGTCAGGGGTCAGAAGTCGTGAGCAGCAAAGCAAGGCCGGTGGGCAAGGCCAGGAGTCGCCCTGGCCACCGCGAGGGCCAGCCCGGGGCAGCCAAGCTGGGGAACTGGCTGACGCCGGTCAGCGCGGCTTCTGCCCTCGCATCTCTCCAACAAGCCAACCACTGGCCCTTGAGTTGTGTGTCAAGGTCCGTAGAGACGGGAGCCCCACTGAGATGCCAGGATTGTGAGAGGCGGCACAGGTCGCCACTGGGCGCCCAAAGAGCGCTTGCTGCCACCAAGCCCTCTGTGCACCTCGGCCCCGTGTCTCTCTAGACCACAGTCCTTGACTTTTGGTTCTCCTGGTGCTTCGTCCCAGCAGGAGGAAAGCCAGGGGCGTGAGGGGACGGCTGAAGACCAACACGTGTCTGCACCAGACACGCCGGAGGAGCTTGTGACTCAGGAGGTGGCTCTGAAAGACGCCCGGGGCAGGGCAGAGTCCAGCAGGGCGAGAAGCCTGGGGTCAGGCCGCCCTGAGCGCGAGCACAGGTGTGCCCAGACCAAGGAGACGACACCTTGCTGAGCTCAGGCCCCTCGACTGCCAAGCCACAGCAGACTCAGCCCCAGGCGGCAGGGCCAGGTCCCTGCAGGCAGGAGGCAGCTGAAACACACCTGCAGCCTCACCAGGTGCGCCAGCAACCCCCACGCACCTCACCTAGACTAGATAAACTTAAAGCTTTCACTACAAAGAATTTTTTTGAACAGCCAGAGCCTTGCAGGGTTAGCTTCAGTCGTCAAGGGAAGTGGCTTCTGCGGAATGTTGCAATGCCCGAAGGAGCTGCTGGTGAAGTGAGACGTTCTCTCCCTTGATGTTAAACGTGCGGATTTATCTTGGGGCAGACTCTGGGTTCTCCTTATCTTCGTAGACTCCTCCCTGACCCCACTTACAACACCTGGTGCATAAGGCATGCTGGATAAATACCAGGGAGACGAGAGAGGAGGACAGAGAGCGCCGAAGAGGAAGGGAGAGCCTGTCAAAGGCGGCGACTGGGGCAGGCGCATGAACAGACTAGCAAAGGCGTTTGTGAAAAATGGCCACTGTTCCCCGCTCCCCCTCATCTCCGCGCCCCCTCTCCCCCCAGTTTGTGACACGCTAGCATGCACCTACTTTCTTCGTGGATGTGAGGGCAGGGACTTGTCCAGAAGCAAACTGGGCTTCCACAGGCCTTTCCCAGAACTTCGGGGACAGTCGTTCTTCTCTACTCCCCCCCCCGCAGACTGACAGGGCCCCAGCAGCCAGCGGAGCAGGTGCGGACCTGGCACCAGGTGCGGGCAGGCTGGGGTCACAGCAGCCGCCTCCCAGGAGGACAGGAGGATGACCTCCCGCGGGTGAGGTCATCGCGGGATCACGGGTCGCTGGGCAATCCTCGCCACCTTATGACAAGTCTGCTCTGAGCAGCCAGATCCTTAGTTTCTTCTCTTCCTTTCACCCCACACCAGCTCTCTTGGCAATGCATCTGAGCAAGATTTTCCACACAGAAAATCACTTTAAAAGCCCGGCTCCTGGGCCTTCATGGAGGAAATGTGAGACGAGTGTCACCTTTGAGCCGAGGGCTCTGACGGGCCAGGTATTCTGAACCATCCCACGAGCCACGGCTGTGATCAGACCCACATCAAAGTCGAGAAGACGGAGGCTCAGTGAACATCCCCAAGCCAGGATGGTGCATCTGCACCAGAACAGGACGAGGATGCCGAGTTTCATCCTGTTCTCAGTGTCTCCCAGCGAGGAATTACTGTCTAGGTCTGAAGCCCGTCCTCTTGGCTTTTCAAGCTCAAACCCCCACTGCCTCAACAATCCCACTACAGCCGTCCCACTGACGGGAACCAGGTTCTCAGGGCCCTGGGTGGGCAAGAACCACTGTCCCTCCACGGGTCTTTCCGAGACCCACCAACAAACACAGGGGCACTGTGTGCCGGGCAGCGCTAACCCACAGGTGCCCACGACCCGGACGCGGCCCCACCCCGCACAATCCTGTCGGGTCAGGGCAGCGGGTGCGTGGCACGGTGTATAGATGGCAGGGCAGGGCATGGCACTCTGGAGGAAGTGTTGACTGAGCTGAGCCTGAGAGATGAGCAGGAGCTAGCAGAGGTGTGCAAGAAAGATGCAGGCGGAAGCAATAAAGGGCAGGTACAGATGTGCGACGAGCGGCACACACCGCCTGCGGGGGTCATGGCTGGAGCAGGGCTCTGGCCGGAGGAGGAAAGCGGTCGGAGAGGAGGAAGGC